TTTTAATCGGCGATTCAGGAGTCGGCAAGACCTGCGTTCTGTTGAGATTTGTCAATGATGAATTCAAAACTTCCTACATATCAACAATCGGTAAGTTTGGTATAAATCGACACCAACAAATGTGTACATTGTCAACTGTCCTGCGTCATGTTGGTTGTTATTCATCAGTATCTGTGTTTGTAGTCACAAATTCTGCACATACAAATATTATTGTAGCTATTATAGGAAAAACAAATCACAAAATCCCATTTTTGAAGACATTTTGCCCTCTCCAAATAGAACAGGCCATAACATATTTTGGAATTGCGTGACTTATTGCCCCATTTTTGTCAGCGAGTCACATATCTAATTTGATGGATGTATTACCCATTGATACCTGTACGTGTGTAGCTGTACTGTACATGACAAGATCTCAATGTGCAAAGAGATACATTTTAATTCACATATGTACATGTACATGTATGTAGGGGTGGTGTTCATGACAAACACTGAAGAGAAATGATTATTTCTTACCTCCTCTGACCATCGCCCTGGTTGGAAAATGAGAAAAGTGTGCATATACATGACAGTATGGGGACTCGTGTGTTTCGGGCATATGAACTTGCCAACATAATACCCATTGGTATAAGGAAGTTCTCATCAACTTGTCATTTGGCAACCCATTGAGGAAAAGCTAGAGTGACATGTACCACTGAAGACTCGGAGATAAGAGGAAAGCCGTTCTGAAGAGACTGCTATTATTTCATTTTTTTTTTGGCAATAGATGCATGTGTCCATCCTCCACACTACTGGTTGCTGGCCAGTTGCCAATGATAAACATCAAATAAAAGGCCAATCGTAAATGTCTTCTTGAAGCTCCAGTTGGACAGTCACAATGTGAAACAAATTGGAGAGTGTAACGGTTACATTTCAAAGTGTACCCACAGTGCCCCTCCTGCGCCCTTCAAAATCCTCCAGGAGAGTTTGGAGGAATTTGTAGCATTACAAAAGATAGATCCTGGCCACTGGTTGTGATTTGATGCCCCAGGAAAGTTGCAGTGTGCTAATGACTTCTGACAGTTCACCGGGGAAGAATACAAGAGGGTTAAAGAAGGGAATAGGGCCATCCAGATCCGAAAATAATCACATTTTTCCTTCTGTAATTAATGTTGATAGAGGAGGGGCTGTTTTTTCCTGAAAATCTCCATGTACATTGATCTCATGATCTAACGTGAATCGATCTGTCACAGAAAGTGGCAAGAGGTTTAAATGAGATTTCTGGCTCACTGAGTACAGAATAACACTGGTCTTGATGATTGAATACCCTAACCTGACATTGGTACAAGCCCAGCATAAGAACCACCTGTCAGTAGAAGGAATTGGCGAATTCAGTCCGAAAATACTGCACTAAACTACCCGGTAGGTATGTTGATAGACCTGAAGGCAGTGTCTTAGTCATGATAGAGATCGCAGAATCAATGAAATTTCTTTTAGCAGTCACTGGAAATAAATACATCATGTACATGTACACAGAGCATGTTGGTCATGCACATTACAGGGCATGCAAGACCATGATTATGCCAAAAGGAAAAAAATCTGTTATCAGAAGCATACTACGGCATGTGTTAAAGTACATATAATGTAGGTAATGTACATAAAAGCTTCCTTCATGAATTTGTGTCGTCGACAGCGGTAGCCATATGCTTGTGCATACATGTACATGTACAATGCTGTGTGATCACATGGTTTCCCCTTCCGATTTGGTTGCTACATGTATATCTATTAATATTATAATGCGTAGGAAGGATTTTGAAAGCACGGTTCATTCTTTGCTATTTCTGCTTCCAGGCTTCTCTTTCAGTATCCTTTCAAAGCTTTTCATTTTGGAGTTTTGGTCTTGTGCTCCATTTAGTCCAGTTTGTTCAAGGAAACACGGACGTGTTTCAGATTTCAGAATCTATTGCCGATTTGTCATCAATGGAAACTTCTACCACAGAGCTGTCCACTTCTGTATTGGTTGCCAGTGCTGCATTTGTTCTGCAGGCACTTGCCAAAAGCCCTCAAATGAGTTATAAAATTCAAGTTTGAATGCCAAGTTCAGACCATCGTAATGTTTGTGTGTATATCGGTACACACAGCACTGTTTGAATACTTCAGAGGTCTGATTTGTGGACAGGGTTGGTTTGTTTGTCCTTTCAAGATGCTGGCTTTGGATATTACCAACTGTCTGTGTGGACGCCATGTATTAGGCAAGTACGTGTATCAAACATGATGCTTGCTTCACATTGTCTAGAAACAAGAACCCCCATGCCAAAAACGAATGGTAGACCCCACTTGAAAATGGTAATACCCCATAACCTTCTAGTTCTAGTTCTTTTCTCAGTTGGGACTTAAAAAGAGTTTGTTTCCAAATACTTGACTGCATTCACTCTGGCTATTGGCATTGTATTCCTATCCTTTATACATACAGCATGCCCCACTCATTTGATACCAGAAACAGGTGTACAACTGTAAATATACCCAGTACAGTGCGTTATAATTCATTTAGAGTTATTTTAACTTCTTCCACCTTGAAGGAAGAATCCCCCCTCCCAGCTTTGTCCATTGAATTTCCACCACACTTGATTAAACTCCGGTTGGATTCTGCATTCCTTACGGTCCAAACGTGAGACACAAGATGCGATATTTTGATTCAGAAGGTTTGACCATCAGTATGTGGGAAACAGAGGTCCTTGAAAAAGAACAATCGCTTGAAAAACCAGACTTTGTTGAAATTCTACCTCACAGTGTGTGATTCATGTGCCATGTTCCCCAGTTGGCCACCAGCCTTGGCAAATTGGTTGATTTCCGTGACCAGAGCAGTTCCGTAATTCACCCAGTCTTAAAAAGAGGTCATCTTTGTACATGCAAGTCTCCAGTAAAAAAAAAAAAGAAGACGAAGAAACTCAGCCCTGGGACCCTGGTTTTGTTTCCTTTTGCAACTTTCCATGCTTGGAATTTCATTTCTTATATCTTGCAGTGTAATCTTTCCTGAAGTGGCCCTCCAGGATGTGGTCCAGATTTTCGACCCAGTGAAACTTGGCATAAGTTTACAACTTGCTTGCTCATTTTTCTTTCTGAGTGTTTAAATCATTTCCTACATGTTGACCTTGGCTCTCGTGCATGTTAACAGATGTGAACTTAGCTTTTCAATGTGTACATTGTACACACCGGTATAATGATAAGTTTAGAATAGCAGGTGTGGTCGTGTAAATCTGGTCACTTTGATGACTTCTGGGTAAACCTTTTTAGAGCTGCTCTCTTCAGCAGATTTAAGGAAAACTTGTTTGTGATGTGATTGTAATGCAGTAGTATATTACTTCCGTCCAACGCAGCGTCATGCAATGACATCATGTTTGGCAGTTGACCTTTTGTTTCCATGGCTGAAATCATCAATAGAGGGCGCTATAACAACATACAGGTCCTGTTTTAAAATGAAAATAAAATGGACTAGGATTTCCTGAAAGTGAGGTTGAGCAATCTCTCTGGTAACTTGCTTTCCCCGACATGGATAACCACACCATGTACATGTATGATTGTGAAATATACATGTATTATTTTGCAACGTAGTTCCTTGTTTGTAAGTTCTTGAGTTTTTCAGTAACATGACGGGAAAATGATAATTGGAATAAAACAGAGGCCATACATGTAGGAAAACTGGAACCTCAAAATGACTTTCTAGCATTGTCCTTGCACGTGGACCAACTTGTGGCAGTTAAATGTCAAAGGTTTTGTAACATTTGGGCTGAAATGTCTGGGTGGTCATTTACAGTGAAGATCATTATTACATGTACATAACATTGTACATTTGCCAGCTGAGGCATACAAGCACATTGCTATAAAATGTAATGCAATCAGTGTTCTGGCCACAGTGGGCGGGTGCGGCATCCGGCGGCACCACCCGGTACTGTAAATTTCCGCCTTGTTCTTAGGTTCAAATTGGCTGTACTGCCCAGCGCGGATTTTCCCAAATCTTAACTGAAATATTGCTGAAAATGTACCGATTTGATCATATTTCAAGCTTACAAAGTCGCAATTGTGCACTATTTTGCAATTTTAACCAATTAAGTAAAGACTATTTCAAAGATGGATTTGTGCCGGGGAGACGAAATAAATTATGGATTTTTTCCCTGTGCTGGTAAGCAAGAGGTCATGGGTTCGAGTATACACTGAGTATACAGTGTTACCGGTAAATATATACATGTCGGGCGGGGGAAAAAATCCAAAATGCCTTCATGATGACATTGGGGAAATCCCTTCTAGGATTCCCCTAAAAACCCAGCTATGGGCTACGAGAGCTTCACTCACTGCGCTCGCTATGCTTGGTAATCCAAAAATTTCCCCGGCACTAAAATGGTCCTACGGTAGCAAGAACACCAAATACAATGTTACACATCTAAGGACAACTGAATCCAATTTTCAGCTACTGTTTAATTAGTCTGCAGTAGTCTGCAGTTTCCACTATTACATGTATATTTACTTCTGGGGACAAGACCTCACAGTTTACACGTACAGTACATTGTACATATACATGTAGCATTCCATCTTCACATGAATTGTTTAGCAACATGAATTTCTTTGTTGACACATTTGGATCCCTTACATGTACATTTTGCAGATGTAGACATGCATGACATGTCCCCAACATATCAGGTTCACATTATCAAAATATTTGTACGTTGTTTTGGCAGGAATGGCAAATCCAAAACCTTGAGCCAGATTAATGCATGTAGTGTAGAAACACACACCTACTGGTGCACATGGGACCAAAGCTCATGTACTTGTTCATATTTCAGTTTCTCTGGTTGTGGAATCTGTTTAGCGTGAAAGTGGAAGGAAACATGAAAGCATATGTTATTATCGTTAACAACCTGTGGGTCATTTGACTGACTCCCTGTTTTATTTTTGATTCATACTTCCTCCTTTGTTTTAAGGATTTAGTTTGAGCGCCGCTATCAAGTACTGCGCCGTCAAGGCTGACATTTTTTTTTGGTTTCTTTGAACCTGTTGTGATTTGTTCTTGTTGTACCGGTCTTTCCCTCACTGGTGAGTGTTGAAATTTGCTGACATTTCATGCAGTTTGGGACTTGCTCATCAAGATCATGGCTGTGTGGTTTTGTATTAGCACAAGGGAAGTTCACACCAAATCCGCGGTATAAATTACCAGAAAGTTCAAGTTGTGTTTCCTTTGACGAAGCCCAACCAGGAAGACGTTTGAAGATGTACAGCGACAGTTGGTTTCGGCTGAAGTGCATAGTACATACATGCACGCCAAGTGGATATTTTGTTATGTTTTAGTTGACAAGTGTTGTTCTCGGACTACTGAAAACGCCTGAAGACACATGAAGCCTGTTACCTTGTAACCTTACTGCCAATTTGTTGAACCTGTTGGTACCTGTGCCTGTGTGGATACTGAATTATCCTTTTATTGTACTTGTATATGTACTGCTGCTAATGTGGAGATGTTCTGAAGTTAGCAGAGCACATCAAAAAGCAGGAATCATGCCTTGGGATTGGAAGTTCAAGTTAGCTATTTTGGCACAGTATCACGCTAGCATGCAGTGGAAGTGGCATGATCCCACCTGTTGGTAGGCACCGGTGGCAGTTTTGATGGATCAGAGATCTACCCAAGTGGGCCTGGAACGTGATGCCATTGAAGCCGTGATTCAAGTTGAGGAGTGCAGCTTTGAATGTGAACTCTCACTGACTTGTGTTAGATTTGAACCACCTGTGGTGCTGTGTCAGTTACATGTACATGTAGAAAATTTCCAAAGAAAAGACTCAGTAGGGATTCGAACCCACAATAAGCTGTTATTAGATGTGTTTTTTTATAAAAGTTTCCATGTACTCCCAGTGCTAGTTATTGGAACTCAACTTGTTCGGGCCAGAAACATTTTTCTGTGGTGACCTTATAAATTTGTCTCCTGAACTCAACCAGGATGCCATCGAAAAAAGGCAAAAAGAAAGGGAGTTTATCCTCTAATCGTAGCCAAAACTCTGTGAACAGCCGGCCGGTGTCCACTGTGTCTGCCGTCAGTTACAATCGGGAATCCGTGCAGTTGGGCGGGCAGCAGTACGGACGCTCCTTTTTCGATCTGATCTTGAAATACTTGCTCATTGGGGATTCGGAGGTGGGGAAGTCGTCACTTGTGCTACGCTTCTCCGACAACAATTTTAGAGAAAACTTTGTTTCGACTATAGGTGAGTTTATAACGTACCGGCAGCAACTTGGAAACATACCTCCATCAGTGCCTGTTGTTGACATGTCCATACTGGTTCATGTGTACATGAATGTACACTGCACTACATGTTCATGTGCATGGGTAATTCCAGACATTAGGGGTTCATTTTTTTGGTGTCCCTGTCACATCTGACTTGTGATTTTGTAAGTTCAGAACACATTTTCTAATTTCCAAGAATGATGAATGAATGCATATTACCTGCCAAACAAATACATTTAGTAACAGTTTGGAATCAATTCTAGTGATACTTCAATGTCAAATAACAAAGGGCAGATATAACAGGGACACAGAAATGTCACACATTTAGACCCTTAATTTCTGAAATTACCCATTATTTTATTTATACTGGTATTGTTTCTGAAAAGAATTCTTAGTACGCTGTGCAGGTTTTGTGTTTCAAAGTTATTTAGAGCAATAAATGCTGATGCTATTGAATTGAACACGCACAGTACTCACTGGTACTTGTGAGCATTGTACATGTTGTACATACATGTACCTGTCTGGCATTATATCGGTACCTGCTCTGTGCATGTGTACATTAATTAATTAATATGCATTGTGCAGGTGCATGCGAATACATATATGTCTGTATTTCGTTGAGTTTTGTGGATTTTCGCTCAACAACATTATGTATACATAATTGTACATGTACAGTTACGTATTCACATCCATCCAGCGTGCAAGTTTTCCTCGGATCAGCTGATCTCAGTTTTCACTTCACACCTGTGCTGTTGAAAATTGAAAAAACACTGTGCAAAGCCTCGTAAAGATTGGAATTTCCTTGTTTTTTGTCAAAATCCAAGTTCATGCTTGATACATAAATACAACTGTAAGAATTGTAACGCTGTTGATTATTCCACATTCTGTA